TGGTGCACAGTTACCTGTAGTTCAGCTCGTCCGTGAACTCGTGGTTCTGTGGGGAGAGGGCGAAATTGCAGGATGATCAGGCACTGCGGCGTTCCTCTTAACACACACAGCTAACGTGACGGTTCCGAGGCTGGCTTCCCCCTCCCGTTCTGTCCGAGGCCATCTTGTGCTATTTGCTATCCGTCACATCACTTCTTCTATGCTGTTGCACCGCTTCTGTCCCATCCTATCGTCTTTACTACTCATCTGATGCCTTCCTCACGGGGTGCAGCATTCCTCGGCTCGAGTCTTGTCCTGTTCCGTCCTGTTGTACTAAGTGGAATAACACTCGAAGCCAACTGACTGATCCGCTAATCCTCACGAGGATCACAGGCGAGCCGGAGCCCATCCCGGCCGTCTTCGGGCAGCGGCGGGCTACACCCTGAGACGGTTGCCAGCTTATTGCAGGGCGCACAGAAACAAACAACCATTTGCATTCACAATCACACCTCGGGTTCAATCAACCAACTGTGCGTGTTTTGGGAACGTGGGAGGAAAGCAGAGTACCCGTAGAAAACCCACACACGCGTGGGGAGAACATGCAAACTCCACACAAGAAGGACGGTTGGATGTTCTCCTCGGGCCTACGTGGGTTTTCTCCGGGTACTCTGGTTTCCTTCCACATTCCAAAAACGTGCATGGCAGGCTGATTGAACACTCCAGATTGTCCCTAGATTGTGATTGTGAATGGTTGTTGGTCTGTGTGTGCCCTGCGATTGGCTGAACTATGATGATGATGATCATTTTATGATTTTAATTTATTGTTATTATGATTATTATTATCACATGGGCGATCCGGTGGTCCAGTGGATAGCGCGTCGACCTGAAGTGCAGAGGTACCGGGTTCATTTCCAGCTGAGGATAATCGGATCGGGAAATGGATGGATGATTGGATATTATTATCACCATTATCATCATCATCATCATCATTATTGTCACATGTAATGTGACAAAAATGATGATAATGAGAATGGTGAGGCATTTTCTACTGACCGTGGTCTTCTCCAAACAGTGAAGAAGGTGGTGATGTTGATGTTCGAATGCCGACTTGTTCCTTACGCACAAAGCGCCGCTGTCACTGTCCCGGTCCTGCAGACACACACACGCACGCACGCACGCACGCACGCACACAAACAGACACACACACACACACACACACACACACACACACACACACACACACACACACACACACATATAATCAGAAAGTGTGCAGTGTAACGTTCTGCAATGGCAGAGTTGTAAAAATACAGCACGTGTGATGTGATGTTTTGATCATTTGGTATTGGTTGAAGCTTCATTCCATCTTTAAAAACAAAATACAAATTTTCACAGGTTATCCGACAAACTAAATAATAATAATGTATAAATGATGTGCGTTGGGTGAATGTGATGTCTCCGTTGTGTCCGTCGTGCGTGCGTACGCGTCTCACCCCGAGTGCTCGGTCTTCTTTGTACTGCAGGAAGGCATTCGTGGTTCCTTTCTTTGCCATGCGGATTCGAGCCAAACGCACTTTCTGAAACACAGATTTGTTATTGACGTTGTGCTGTTCAAGTTGTTTTGCAAACACACTGCAGTCACCGGCGTGTAATAAAAGCAGCGCAGTTGGCAAGAGCGAGACAGTCGCCTGGCACAAGTCGTGTCGTCCGTTCGAGTGTTGTCATGAAAGTCACGTAATTTGAATACTGTAGTGTGCCGAGAGTCGTGATGTCAGCAGAAGGAGGCAATTTAGAAAATTGCCCATCCGACAGCGCACATCTGCCCATCATGAGTTCATCATATCCTGAGAGTAGTGCAGTATAGTTAGTGCGGTGTAGTTAGAGTAATGTCGGGAAAGTCGTATTGTATAGTCAGGGCAGTGCAGTATTGTCGTCAGAGTAGGGTTGTGAGAGTACTGTAGTTACAGTACTGTATTCTGAGCAAATACTGTCATAGTGTAGCCAAAGCAATGTAGTTCGTGCAGTGTCAGGTAGTTAAAGTACTTAGAGTAATGCAGTTCGAGTACTGCAGTTACAGTAGTATAGTGAGATCCGTGGACTAAGGTTGCAAAGTTCGAGTCATGTTGTTCGAGTATGTAGTAGTTGGTGCAGTACAAGTCGTGTTGCGTCAGTAATGTCGAGTTGTGCAGCAAACGTAGTGTCGCGTGTCGGCAAAGTCGTGTAGTTGGAGTTGTGCGGTGAAAGTAGTGTTGTGTGTGCAGTGTGCATAGCGTCGTGTGCAAAGGAGTTTGGGTAGCGTAGTTAGCGGAGTCAATTAGAGCATGTCGCGAGTTCAGTCTTAGTGGTGAGGTTAAAAGCGGGTCAAACTCTCTCGAGTGTCCTGAACACGATGATGTGATTGCGTCGACTTTGCCGTTGACGGTGCGATGGCTTTCTGGCGCCCTGACCTGCTGCGCTCGCATCTTGTCCGCGCGCTGGTTCTGGTGGTAGATCCGACTGAAGTTGGACACGATGACGGGCACGGGGAGGGCGATGACCAGCACGCCACTCAGTGAGCAGATGGAGCCGAAAATCTTCCCGGCGATGGTGTTGGGAACCATGTCGCCGTAACTGCGGACCGCAATGTTGACATGAGGAACTGTGGCTTCAAAGGCGCCAATGTCATGTTACGTGACGTCATCCTCCTGTCACGTAATGTCACCTGGTGGCACGTCATCTCCACTTTACCCGATATCACCTGACGCCATCCTGTGACCAGATGTCATCCTTTTGTCACATGATGTCATCATGATGTCATCTTCATGCCACCTGATGTCTTCTCATGTCACACGATGTCACATCATCCTAATGCGCGGGTCGCCTGATGTCAACCTCATGCCATCATCATGTCACATATCATCCTCATGTAGCATAAACATGTGTATGCACACACACACACACACACACACACACACACACACACACACACACACACACACCTTCAAAGGATAGCAGAGGGTGACAAGTGGTCAGACGCCAGGACAAATAAAGGTTTTACAAGAGTGGGAGGTCCCATAAGGGCCGGGTCATCCCGGTTCTACAGTCTAAATATTTCATGATGGGATTATGTCATCCTGCACTCAACACGGAGGGAAACTGTGAGGAGGGAATGTTCTAGAAGAGCGGCAACGAGACCCCCCCCCCAAAAAAAGATGTCGGAGTATTGAATGGTGGCCATGGCAACTGTCAGACATACCGACACACGAAGCTGACGGGCAACCTCCTAGTAAGCAAAGACCAACGCAAGAAGACAAGGAAACAAGCAAATCAGGACATAAGGAGAGAAGGTTGGGAGAAAAGGAAGGAATGATGCTAAGTCTTCTAATGGGCTTGAAAGTAAACAATCTGATTCCAGATCAAACCTGATAAATGGAAAAAAAAAAAAAAGAAAAGAAAAACTCCATTAGTGGCGAGCTGGCCAACCAGGCGCTCGGCTTGATGCCTGTCAGCCAATCATGATTCAGCACAGACAGCCAATGCTAATTGATTTATGCTACATTTCACTCGGATGAGAAAAAAAAAAAACTCCTCCTGTGAGCTAAGACAGGAATGGACAAAAAAAAAAGTCAATGAGTTCCACTTTCAAGCTTTTTCATGGTCATGCAGTTGTCGCCCTCTCATTTCATCCACGAGTTGACTCTCCAGGCTCTCAGTGGTCATTGACTCTTGAGGCTTTTGTTTTGTATATGACTCTCGTCCAAACTCTCATTTTGGAGTTGACCCTCTGGGCTCTCATGTCATTTCTGACCCTTTCGGTTCTTATTTGGTATTTGTCCCTAATGTAGGTCTCTCATTTCGTAGTTGACTCTACTCGTCTCTCATTTCGAAGGTGACTCTCATCTTGAAGTTGACTCCCTAGGCTCTCATTCCATATTTGACCCTCGGCTGTCATTTTGTATTTGACTCTCAGAGATCGGAAATCCCACTCCAGAACGGAAAAACCCTCCCACGGTTCGGCTTTAGCCACACATGCTTCTCCTCAACCGGCAGGCAAACCAGCTTGTTTTCAAAGTCGACTCTCTCGGCTCTCGTTTTGTATTTGATCTGAGGCTGTCATTTCGTGTCTGACTCTTCCAGCTCTCATGTTGTTGTTGGTTCTCCAGACTCTCATTTCACATTTAACTTTGAGCACTCATGTGATCGTTGACGCTCTCGTCAGAGTTTCCTCCCTTGGTTCTCGAATTGCAGTGACCTTTGGCTCGTATTTGACAATCTCTGCTCCCTTTTAGACGACTCCCGAGTTATAGGTGACTTTTTTGGCTCTCATGTCATATTGATTCCAGGTTCCCTGTTATCGTTGAAAATATATTCGGGTCTTATGTAAATGGTAATTCAATTCCCAACACAGAATTTGGTACAGCGGATTCGATTTGGCTCAGCAGTTGAAACCATCCGCTCGCTGTCCGCTAAACCGCCCCTCGGCAAGAACGTATGTGTCATTGTTCCAAAAGAAAGCCCTGTCTTTTCTCGTTTTAAAGAGGAGGAAGATGAGATGAGTCGCAGAAAAACGAGTTATGGGCGCATCCTACACTAATGGACCAGTGGGAACTTGGAGAGCTTCATCTCATTCGTGAGCTCCAGTTGCACCAAGACGACGACTTGGTGGTCTTATTTCAGGCCGAGCAGGGAGCAGTTTAAAAGCCTCCTGCAGAGAACTGGCACAAGCTTCACTGCATCTGCGGTCCCGCCCCCTCAGCCCATGTGCACAATGAGCGGATTCGTCGATGGCGCGCTGCTAAGTGCGGAGTGAAAAGGCCTTTAGATGACTCTCTGGTCATACTGTGGTTGACTGTCTTGGCTCTCATCGAGCAGTTGACTCTCTGGTTGCAGTTGCCTTGCGAGTCACAGTTGACTCTCTTAGCAGTGATCTCGACAGACGGTGAAGGAGTTGTTGTAAATGTGTCGTCATTTCGTGGTCACCGTCACAAAGATGTCAGTATCGAGGGTTTGTTGATCACTTCCAGTGCATCTTAAAGAGCGATGGAGTCCTGTTCTTCATCATCCTCCTCGTCTTTTGTCCTCTGTGAGATCTTCCCCCCCCCCCCCTCCTCGTCGGCAACCATGTTTAATTGTTAATGTGATGATGAAAGTTGCAGGAGGGAGGATGCTGGTTCCGTGTTTTCTCCCCACCTGCTGAAAATGTGACTCTCTTTCTAGCCATTAGATTTGAATGTACTTAATCTTCGCAGGATTCGATTGTACGACGCCGTCTCTATTGGTACTTTTCGTCAAATGTCCGAACGGAAAGACGTACTACAGGATATGAAATTAAATTACTGTCCTGTTATTCGTTAATATAGTGTGCTTCACAGTCAAGGTACTGGTCAGATATATCATGTACTTCCTTTGTCCTTAGTGCGCATAGTCCAAGTTGACTTTACTTTCCGCTACACACAAACCGACGCAGTAACGCTCACAGCTACACTTACGAGCACGCTCAATATCACATACGAGTACACTGTAACACTCACCAGCACACAGTACAGTGAAACTCCTCTACAACAAAATCATGTTTGCAGCAAGAAATTTTTCACAACAGGGGACTTTTCACTGTAGCAAATTTTATCTCAGATGTAAACACGAACACACACACAAAAATGTATATGTGTACTTTTTATTTTTATTTCAATTGTGCATAAGTATGAGCACACACTTGTTTGACACTTCATATAGCCAGCATAGAAAGAAAAAAAGGGAAAGAAATTGCGAAATTTACGATCAGCATTTACTTTCACTGACATCAATTTCTTGCATCATGTCTTTTATTTTACTTCCTCCATCTTTCAATTTTATTACCTTTATCCTGTCTTCAAGCGTTAAAGCTTTTCTTAACTCCTTGGTATGCAAAGGTCTGTTTTGTCGCTATTTTAGCGATGCAACGTTACCAGTGTGGTGGTTGCTGTTGCCGTTTCCAATCAAAGCAGTAGAGGTTGCTGTGGCATGTTGGGGTTGGATTAGACTTTTGCAGAAGGCTTGTTTTCCTTGTAGCGAATCTCGTTACGAGGCAAGAGCAAAGAAAAAGATTTCGTATAACGGAACCGGGGGGCTTTTTGTTGTAGGGGGAGCAGAAAAGTGGGAATGGCTTTCATACATGAAAATTTTTTCACATGAGGGGGAATTTTCGCCCATGTAGAGGAGTTTCACTGTAATACTCACTGCTGCCCACAAGTACATACACGTAGTTACACAAACTACTACACTTGAGCACAGAGTAACACGCGCACTAGAATATAGTAATACCCACTTGTACACGTGAGGACTCACTGCTACACACACACACTTACTCTATGAGTTGATGACACCTTAGTTTCGATAACATTGTCACAAGGTTACACAACGCAACCACGCTGACGGGACCGTAGCAGCGGCAGTTTATCCATCAATATGCTATCCATCCATCCATCCATTTTCCGATCCGCTTTATCCTCACGAGGGTCGCGGGGGGTCCTGGAGCCCATCCCAGCCGTCTTCGGGCAGTAGGCGGGGGACACCCTGAACCGGT